AATAAACGCAAAAAGCTTTTTTTCTTTTTTTTTGCCTGGGAGAAGAAAAACACGATGGAAGGCGGCGGAGAGCCTACTCGGTGGTGCTACTTGATCGTTGTCTTTCGTACACTATGGAAAACGAACTAGAGTTTACTTGGTGTTGTCTTACTTGATAATTTTCTTTCGTATATTCATACATGTCTTGCCCGTTTTTATAGTGGTTCTAGTGACCGGTCATTAAAAAATTGAGTTTTCTTTTCGCCTACTCTCCCCTTTTTGGTGCTTTCTGTTTTGTTGAACTTGTTCTCTTTATGTTGCTGAATGTTTCTGCTCGTATTGCTCGTTACTGCACTATGATCATATTTTTAAAAAGTAACGAGTAATTAAAGTAATTTGGTACCAATATTTTGTAACAAAATTAGATTACAAATTACTTCTAAAAGCAAAGTAACGAGGCATTTACAATATTACTCGAAAAATTAACGGATTACAGGTAATCCGTTGCATGTAACGGATTTTTTTTTAAGTCTGGTTAGAGTCAATGTCAGAGAACGTTGAAACATAAAAAAGAGCGTAACCAGTGGTTTTCTTGCCGTCGTCAATGAAGCTTAACCAATGCATTCGATATTAAATTGTACATTTCATGAATGGTTCACCACATTCAAGTCGTGAGTGGTATGCATTGTGACACCCTTCATTGACGTTGGGGCCCCGGCAAGGTGAAACCCCTCTGTTCTAGTAAACTTGGGTACTTACCGAACTTTGACTGGTCCCGAAACAGACGTTTCCCTCTCGGTTTGCTGTCGTGCGTGATTTAACGGTAACAGCAAAACGTAAAGTTGTTCTGTATTATTTAAACAATCTATGAGTTGTTCCTGAATGGCTACTGCTAAGCATGTTTGCCCACAACCATGCTGAACCTCCATTACAAACTTTCTTTCGTTGACGGTTATCGCGAGAAGGCTGAGTGCACGATGGACGATTGAAGCAACGACAAGTTTGACATTTTTGGCGGACAGGAAATGAATCTGGCTGACACTCACATGGGTCAGAGTGTTGTTTAGTATTATGTTTAACTACTTCAAGGAAAGCTGGCTTTGTGTTGGTGTTCATAGTGTCGGTGTTCGTTTTGTTGATATTCGTGTCGGTACTCGTTAAGTCGATATTCGTCCTGCCGGTATTTATTGTTACGATTTTTGTTTCCTCGGTACTCGTCGTCGATTCGGAAGTCATTGGTTCAGAAATCATATGTTCGAAAGTCTTTGGATTCGAACTAGTAGGTTAGGATATCGTCAGAATTCGACCTTTTGGAAGTCGTCGCTTTGAAAGTCATTGGTTCGCGGGCCGTCAGTCTGTCGTCGTGTGGATAGCTCTTTGGTCGGCCTTTTCGCAAGATACAAATGTAATCGTCAATTTTGAGCAGAAAAAACAAACACGCGTGGAGCACAGAATGATAAGATTGCCGCGCAGTGCGACGTACAAGTCAGACAGCGTTAAGCACATTGTTCGGTCGAAATCAGGACTGTTCTTCATCTTAGCTACAACATTGCTAACCTTTGAACTATTGAGAATTTCGGGATTGATATCGGTCAGAAAATACTGAAATCAAAAGAGCCTGTAGATCAAAGGGCGCTCAATTTGATCGTTGCAGCAAGCTACGAAACTTGTTCAGGCTTGCTATTAGGCGTCAGTGCAGTACTCCTCGTTTATTCTTGGGCGTAAAATCACAATTAATTTGTTGGTGTGTCGGTCGATTCCCGGGCGGCTATTAGTTTGGTGGTGAGTCGGCGGGCAGTCTTCCGGTAATCGGTCGGTAGGAAGACTGCTGTTGAGAACTCGATTGGCGATCGTGTAGTCTATTGCTTCATGTGACAATAGGATGTTCAGTGGGCAAATCAAAACTCGAAGCCATCGGTAAAGTCTTTTTAGATTGAAGGTTCTCATAGTTGGTGGACAGGTTTGGTCTAACATGCATGGCGGGTCGGTAGGCGGTTGGTTGGCAGGCGACGGGTCGGCAGGCTTTCGGTTAGTGCGCGTTCAGCAGATAGACGACCGGCGGCAGGTCGGACTCCTAACTCCCAGGTTTAGGCTCCAGAATCTAAGACACTAAGCATGAGCTTGACCCGGCCCCAGAAATGTAACGTAGGATTTACGTAAAGTATTTAAATCTCATTCGATGCCACCGACGCTGCAATACCTCGTTCTTCCTTCTCTTTTTGATCTTCAACACGTTTTTTTTAAACAAGAATATACACTAAAAATTATACTAAAATTCGGGTTTTTGTTTGTTTATTTGCTTCCATCCTGGTGTTTTGTACGAAGATACTGTGAAGTCAAACTATAAAGTTGGTCATGACAAATCTGCTACTTTAAGAATAAACAATAAGACAAATCCAATAACTAAGCCCCCCAAAATAGCTAAATTTCAATGATCGATACTGCTAAGCGTGCCTTTGCTGTTTTTATTGTGATATAATGTGCTTGTGATGTGCAGATAGTTTTATATTATATATTAATATTGTGTAATTCTATTATATTATTATGTAATATTGTGTTTTCATCTACACTAAAAACTGCGTTCCGACGAACGCCAAGTTATTATTAGTAAAATAAAAGTGAATTTCATTATCAGAATCATTTGGAGTAGATAAACAGAGTCTAACTTGACGGCGTGCATCACTATAAAAATAAAACGTTTTACATGCTGTTTTCATACTAGTTAAACGTTTTTTATCTAATTGTTATTTATGTGGAAACCATTGCGAAGTATCTTTCGCGTACGTGACTTTCTTAAAAGTATCAAAGCAAGCATTTCAAAACATAGCACGACTTCGTGGTGACTATTCTTTTTGTACGCTGTTTCCCAGGCAGTGTTTGGGTTACTCCATCCCTCTCAGTTGTTTTATGCAGCGCTTTAAGAGGCCCAGCTGCTGATGCGTGAATTTTATCAAGAAGCCGCTACGAGTGCGAAGATTGATTTCCTGCCGAAATGCTTGTAAAAGCAACATTTCTGCAAACTGCGATCTCGCGCCATCGCCTTTAAAGGGTAACTGCAAAGAAAAAAAAAAAGGTTCTTTTTAAACAACCTAGTTGGGACAAGCATGTCACAAAACAAATCTCCCGCGAAAAAAAAGTTACAATATTTGTGTCACAGGACGTAATTTAGAGTCACAACCTCTCCACATTTGAAACTCGCGCTCTTTCGCCGCCCGCGGAAAAGAAGATCGCTCCGCCCCTCGCTCTTGGATTTGCTGTTGGATTGGCTTGGCTGCGGAGTTGAACATACGCAGCGTCTCGATTTCCGGTGCGTCTTGTGTAAGTACCACTGTCCAGTGCCTTTTCTAGCTTTTGTGTCCTCGCGTAAAATGGAACCCCAGTTGAAGCGTCGGCATCTCGGCCCCAGCGAGCAGCTGGGTCTTCGGCCATTCAAAGACACGCCGCGGAGGACGGTTGCCGACGACGAAGACGGCCCACCGCCCGAACCTCCCGAGCCTTCGGCGCGCTTGGACGATACCCGCTGGTAATTGAACTCCAGCTGTTCATGTTTAGGCGCTATGCATGTACGCGTTCTGTTATGCTCCTTTGTGTTGTTTAAATGTATCAGATTGAAGTACATCCCCCCTCCCCCCCTGTAATGCCATCCTGGCGTAGTGGGAAAGTGAATAAATAAATAAATGAAATGAAAAGGACTGCGTCGCTGCTACCTTCTGGCGCGAGACGTCGCAGGCTTTGACAAATTGTCCACTGAATGGCTCGGGTGGTACCCAACTGCCTCGATGTGTCAAGACTGAAAGAAAAAAGTTAGTCTACTGCTGCTATTGACTCTTGCGATATTACATGCTACCAGGTGCCGCTGCGGCCGCTGCCACCTAATGCCGACGGCCCACGACTGCGTCTGCTGCCTGGAGGTTTCGAAGGTCGCCTCCAAGGTTGGTAACCGCCGCATCACCGATCACTCTGACTTTTTCGGTGGCATCCTAAACCCAGCCGTGCTCCAGATCTCCTCCCGGATGAGGGCGATGGAACTAAATCACATGGAGCTCATCGGACAGAGGAGCACCCATAAGTAAGGCTAACACCGCGTCGTGTTGGATGCTGTAGACCAGAAAAGAAGTTGATGTATTTTTACTACATTTTTGGCGTGACGTAGTAAGCAGATAATAGGGCATGACTGACTTGTTGCTGTGATTGCAATTATGGCCTTGCTGGAGATGGGGGCCTAGTTGTGTGGTCTTGTAAACCTTTTGCGAAAAAAATGGTGACTCTCATCACACGGGTTATTCTTTAAACGTAAAAATATGCCGCTCAAAAGGAAATTGCAATATTTAACAAAGGTTTAACAACGAAGATCTCTCAATCAAACTCTTAAACCAATGAGAAGTGTAGCAGCCGATTGGGATTCAACGTCACGGAATCCCAACTTCGTGGTGCGCGATTCAAGACGGACGAAATAGCCGCAAACTAAAATCAGTCTCACGCAATAAATATTCCTGTAATCTTTTTTTCTCACGTAAAAATTGTTTTTTGACATGGTTGTTCTAATTAGGCTGCTTAAAAAACTTTTTTCTTTGCAGTTACCCTTTAAGTGTTCTGCCTGCAACTGCCTAGAACGATGGGCCCAGTTTGGTCAGTTCATTTCAATTATTACGCCAAGGAGTCCTTTTGAAATTGGCCTCCGAATCGCGTCATTACAGTGTAGCTGAGCGCCTTTGCATCAGTTTTTTCTTGATTAGATAGTCACGTTTATATTTGTTATTGTTTCACTGCACCACCAATTACTTTTTGTTTAAAAATTAATTCTCTATTTGCAAATCTGCTGAGGTAGTGTATTTTGTCAACAACGCTAGGGCTATTTCACACACATATGCACACACACACCTACACACAAACACACGTACAAAAAGGCAATACAGCAGGCAGTAATTAAAAACCAATCGCTCACTGATGAATAGAATCTTAATATTTTGTTGTGTTTTTTCTCGCTCGTATCAACATATAATTTTTATTAAAGTGTCTTACAGGCGCCGCTTCCTCGCGGGAGGTTGGGACGGTGGTTGATGGTCACTGCTTGAAGAGCGTATGCAGTTGTCGTCGATTAGGTCACCGATCATCGACGACCGTAGACCCTGGCCCAGGGTGAGACCAGAGAAGACGGCATCAAGTACGGCCCTCGACTGATGACGTCAGAGTTTTCCAGCACCCGACGTCTCTCATTGAAGCGCCGCTTTTCGCCGAAACCACGTTTCTCGCCAAAGCCACGCTTCTCCCCGAATCCTCGCTTGTTGACGAGGTCTTCAACCAGAAGTGGCTCGTCGTCCCCATAGTCGTCGACATTAAGGTCCTCCTGAACAAAAATAAATTGAACAAAAAAATATTGCCCGTTAAAATAAATAAACAATCATATATAATCAAGGTCATATATAATTTTTCAAAGAAGCATATGGGACTTATATAAACTAGATTGGTAATAAACAACAATTCCAGTCTGACTGCAGAATTTATTTTTCAACAATTCACGCCGTACCAAGACTGTGATGGTTCAAGCCTCAGTCAATTCAGAGCCTTGGCTGGTTTGCGAATGATTTGCCATATTATCACTGTCACTCTGCTATCCGATAGAATGTTGTGGTCCGTCGTGGAGGTGGACAAGCAAGCGGCTTTGTTGGTATGGCTGGCACTTGTGCGTCCCTCACCTAAGTTGTGACTATGCACAAAGTATTTGATAAAGATCGGCACCAAACACACTTTGAAATCACAAGAAAAAAAATTGAATCACTGCATGCTGATCTTTTTTCGCAAAAATCACATGTTGCCATGGTTTCTCGTTCCTCAGCTACATGGATGGATGGATGGATGGATGAATACGGCTGAGCCCTTTGGATCGGGCGGTAGCTTACGCCACCTAGCCATTTAGTTTTACCATTTAAGCTTAGAATATTTAAATGTGAAATCTATATTCACTTCGCAGTGCAAAGAAAGTGAGGCTATGAAACCCCCTTGCCATCAGTGAATAAGAAAATACCTAGTTTTCTCTCGATTTCTGCCACCATTCACTTAATCTTTGCTTGGTAATCTCTACAGTCTTGAAATCCACTCTCCCTTCGCTGTCTCTAAAACCCAATGACTTTATTAAATCTATGTTGTCTTCGGTAGGCATAGGGTGAAGCCCTTTACAGTAGAGTATCAAGTGCTCAGCCGTCTCGTTCTCCTCTCCACAAGCAGTGCACACTGTATCAATTTCCTGGTACTTCACTCTGTATGTTCTGGTTCGCAGAACACCCGTTCTTGCCTCAAACAGCAATGAGCTTCCCCTAGAATTGTCATAAATGCTTTCTTTGGCAATAACTCTTTTGTTTAATCTATAGCTTTCCAGGGCCGTCTTTGTCTGCATTCCCTCTAGCCACCGATCTCTTTCTGTGGCCTTAACTTTCTTCTTAACTGAGACTTGCTCTTCCGTATCTTCGCTATAGCCCAAAAACTTTCCTCTTAATTTCCTAGTGCGCTGTCTCCACTTGGTGTCTACACTCCTCATGTATAAATAGCTGAAAACCTTTCGTGCCCATTGCTCCCCGTCCATTAGCCTCAACCTATCCTCAAATTCTACCTTGCTCACCGCTTCCCTGCTCTCAAATGATGCCCATCCCATGTCTCCTTGTACTCCCTGGTTTGGCGTTTTGCAATGTGCCCCCAAAGCCAGTCTACCTACTCCGCGCTGTTTTATTTCTAGTTTCGCATGCACTTCGGATTTCATGCATAGCACTGCGTTTCCAAAAGTCAAGCCAGGCACCATGACCCCTTTCCAAATCTCTCTCACCACCTCATACCTGTTGTAATTCCAAAGTGCTCTATTTTTCATTACAGCTGCATTTCTGTTGCCCTTACCTATTATATACTTTTCATGGTCTCTGAGATATTCTGCACCATCACATATCCATACTCCTAGATACTTGTATTTACTAGCTCTCTCAACTGTAATATTCTGTATCTTCAGCCTCTCAACTTCATCCTCGTTAAAAATCATGACTGCCGATTTTTCGCTACTGAATTCTAAACCTAATTCCTCTCCTTCCCTACCACAGATGCTCATTAATTCCTGCAACTCTGTCCTGTTGTTAGCCATTAGTACAATATCATCCGCATACATCAATCCCGGTAAGGATTGCTGAATTTTTTGGCCTAGCTTACTGTAAGAAAGGTTGAACCCAAGCCCACTCTTCTCTAGTCTATCCTCCAATCCTCTCAGATACAACATAAACAGCAAAGGCGATAACGGGCACCCCTGCCTAAGGCCTCGTCTTATCTCTATTTTCCCTGTCGCCTTTCCTTCCCATGTTATAATCACCTTGTTATCTTTGTAAATGTTCCTTAATAGTGCTGATAGTCCTTCATCTAGGTTTAAGTTCTCCATTATGTCCCACAGGTTTCTTTGGTTCACATTGTCATAGGCACCCTTGATATCCAGAAATGCCAGCCAGAGCTGTCTGTTTTCTTTTTGCGCTATTTCTATACACTGTGTTAGAGAAAATAAGTTGTCCTCCAACCTTCTTTGTTTTCGAAACCCGTTCTGTAACTCGCCCAGTATGCCCTCGCAATCTACCCATTCCTCCAGTCTGTTCTTTATAATCTGCATTACCAACCTGTAAATAACCGGTGTCACGGTTATAGGACGATAATTCCTAATATCAGACTTATCTCCCTTTCCCTTATATATCATACTCATCCTACTAAGCCTCCATTCATCTGGAATATTTCCTTTTGTTATCATGGTACTCACTACCTCCCTTAGTTTTGCCTTAGATTTAGGACCCAAATTCTTCACCAGCTTAATAGGGATACCGTCTGTGCCTGTCGACGTGCCACTAGGGACTCTTCGTTCCGCCTTTTCCCATTCTCTTTGTCCAAAATCCGCGATGTCACAAACTGGACTGCTACTTCCTTCGGTTCTCCTATCTTCCACATGTACCCGTTCCCGAAATTTCTCCTCCATCACTGCTCCTATATATTGTATCGCATCATCTCCCTCTAATTGATCTCCCTGATGCGAGAGTATGAACCTCTGTCTAGCTTGCGTCGTTTCGCCGAGTGAGTTCAAGTGCTCCCAAAACTTCTTGGCAGCGTTTCTATCTTTCTTACTTACATTACTCATCCATTCCTCACCCTTTCTCTGAATTTTCGCATTGATCAAACTGGATGCCTCTCGGCGACGTGTTATAAAATTGTCCCATTTTCTTTTTACTTCCGTTTCGGACTCCCCACTACGCTTGGAATACCTGTGTTCTCTAGAGGCTTCCTGACGTTTTTGTATCGCTTGCTTCACTTCTTTGTCCCACCAACTTTTTGGTCTATGTCCTTGCTTCCCCTTTCGTTTACTCTTAACTTTGTCTAGTTCTAGAGCAAAAAGCCTAGTTAGGCTCTCATAGGTCCAATCTGTATGCCGTTGCCCTGAAACTGCTGCCTCTATTCTTTCAACAACTATTTCCAACTCTTTGTCGCTGCAGAAAGTTTGCTTTGAATTATGTTGTCTAGTTTCAGCATTTACTTCTCTGGCAAAATTCAGCTTAATACGTTTGTGATCACTACCAAGACTTTTGGAACCTTCTTCATCTATTTTCATTACTTGTAACTTACCATATATTTTGTGTGACATGAGTACGTAATCTATAGTTGAATGTAGATTGCCAGTTTCCCAAGTTATGTGCCCGTCACACTTCTGACTGGTATTACATAAAACTAAATCATGCTTTTCCACCAGTTCTAGTAATATGCTTCCAGTTGAGTCCGTATACCCATCCAGACCCTCAATATGGGCATTCATGTCTCCCATAATAATTATTTCGGAGCCTTCCCCTAGTTCACTAATGTCTCTTGATATGCAATCAATCATTTTTCTGTTTTCCTCTTTAGCACCTGTCCCTGTCCATAAGTAAACCACTCCAAGGACTGTTGATTCCCCAGCGACTTTTCCTTTCAGCCACAAGTGTTCGGCGCACTTCTTTCTGAACCTTTGAAAGTTCATATTCTTCTTAATAAATGCTCCAATTCCACCTCCCTTCCTCGTTCCCTCCATTCTGTTGCATTCTTCCCACACATAGTCAGGGTTGCAAGGTGGCTGCTCCATGTCTCTGAGATGTGTTTCCACAAACCCATACACCATTAAATCCTCCTTTCTTAGTTGCTCCTCTACCTCTTCCCATTTTAACCTATTTCTACCACCCTGCATGTTAATATATCCAATGTCTGATTGTGCTGTTTTTTTATACCTGTTCTTACGTTTTCTCCTCTTTTTAACCCTGGGTGCCTCTCCTGACTTTGTTGGGTTTTCAGTTACTTCAGTGCCCCCAGGGCCCTCGGTCCCCCCAAAAAAGCAGTCACCGTGCGGCCCATTCTATCCCCCACCCTGTATCCCGTGGCCTCACTGTAGTGAATGCCATCTGCAAAAGGGCGGGAGCCAGCCTCGTACACTTCTCTGTTTACTTCCATTACGTCGTACCGAAGCTGTCGACTCATACCCTTAATTACTCCGTTGGCTTCGACAACCCTCCTCTCCGTTAACCCGGACTGCCCCCGAACTTCTGGAATGGTGCACACAACCACATGCACATTCTCAGACACGTCCCTCAGCTTACGTATTCCCACGTTTTGCTGCTTTCCGAGGTTCTGGCTCCTACCCTTCAACACATCATTAAGCCCCGCGTGAACTATTACTAGGTTCCTTCCCTCCCGGTTATCCCACACCCCCTCACGTGCTGCGGTCATAGCATCCACCATACACTTCCCTGGCTGGACCTCTACGGTTACCCTCTGGTCTCCCTTCACCCTGTTATGTACACCCCTCCTAACCCGTGCTACGTTAGAGCTCCCCACTACCAGTACCCTAGATCCCCCTGGTGCCTGCGCGCCTTTGTCCTGCGACTTATCTCCTGTCACCTGACTGCCCGACGCCTGCTGCTCGAAGGCGCCATTGAGCTGAGGTTCAATCAGCTCTCCAGCGTCGTCGAGCCCGCCTGCCAACAGGCCGGACTCCCGACCACCAGGGATTCCAGCCTGCAGACTGGTGGTTCGTCCCGCTAGAACTGACACTTCCTCCTTTCTTCCCTCGCTACTCTCACTCGCTCGAATTACCCCTTCCAGGCGCTCTACCCTACTGTCACACTCCCTCTTACGCTCCTCTAAACCCGCCTTCCATACTTCCCCCAGCTCTTCCGCCTGCTTCTCGAGGCCGACCCGCTGCTCCCTCTCATGATTAAGCTGCCTAGTCAGCTCCTCTACCTGGGCCTCGAGACCCACCCGCTTCTCTCCTTCTGCCTTAAGCTGGGCCTCAATCTCCCGAACTCTACCCTCCCA